GGGATTTCGGCAGCGCGGCGCTCCGCGAGGGTTTCGGTGGCGCTCCGTGTGGGAGGGGGCTTCAGCAGTTCGGCGCTTCGCGGGGGGGCAGGGGTGTTCGGCAGCGCAGCGCTCGGGGATGTTTGGTGGTGCGGCACTCGGCGGGGGTTTCGGCGACACGGTGCTCGGCGGGGTGTTCAGCAGCGCGGCGCTCAGCGGGGGGTTTTCGGCGTCGCGGCAATCGGTGGGGGGGTGTTTCGGCAGGGCGGGGCGATGCTGGGGGGGGGTATTAAGGCGGTGCGGTGCTTTTTTTTGCTGCTTGGGGCGGCAAAAAAGTTAGAGCCGGCCCTGACTCCTATTCACTTATATGGCCATTTTGCGGGGTCCAAAACTGCAAAGTTTTATTTGCCCAAAGTAGTGCTTATTCCTGTATGTAGCCCGTTGATGTCTATGGTCTACTCATTGAGTAAGAGTGGCAGGGTCACGTTTAATGTGGCCCTTAAGAACGCTAGGTATTTCCTACGCTGTGATCTATACGTTCCCTTATGTGCTGTAAATAACAGCTGTTCCACTTTTTAAACATTATGCGTGTTGTCCAGTAGACTTTTAGGGGTTGATGTTTGTTTCCTTCCACCAGTTGTATGATCCTTGACGTTAATGAGCATTTCTAACTGGTGACAGTAACTTCTGATGGCCAGTACTTAAACATAATCAATGCAGGTCACTACTTGGGGCCCGCTGACTGGCCCAGCCTCGCTCTCTGGTAGCAGGGCAGGAGACGATAAAAAGTTCCCTGGCTCATCACTTTTTGCATCTCATAATACATACTTTCCTGCAGCGAGAGATCATTCGAAGCCCAATGTCTCCATCCAGCAGCTCAAGGACTCGCTAACGCTAAACCCAGCCCAACCCTTCCTAATGGGCCACACATTTCTCTGCTATTAAACTCCATCAGCAGGAAGCTTGTGTCTCCAGCAGGTGTTTGTGTGCTTGAGGATAGTGGGAGCATTAAGGAATGCCAGTCAGGGCGCGTCTACACTGTAGCACTTCAGTCGTGAATCCACCTGCCCCCGTGGGTGTTGCTAGGCTGCCAGAAGAACTCTCCCGGTGACCTAGCGGTGTCTACACTGGGGGTTAAGTCAGCTTAACTACATCGCTCAGGGGCGTGGATTTCTCACATCCCTGGGCAACGTATCTGGGTCTACTTTTGAGTGTAGACCTGGCCCTAGTAATGCTTGATGAACTTTAGCTTAATCCCATGAGGATAACTCTGCTAATTTAGCGAGACCCAGACTAGAGCCAAGATCTTTGTATTCCAACTAATGGCATAATTAAGGGCAACAAAAATGTTGGAAGGGATTTTAAACCTTGTCTTTCAGGGATTAAGCCAATCTCTAACCATTACAGCTCCGGGTGATTCGCCCACAGTGTCTACAGCATCTTCCTGGAAAGCATTTGGCACCGGCCACTGTCAGAGACAGGCCACTGGGCTAGATGGACCTTGGATCAGATCTAATCTGGCAATTCCTATGTCCCTATCAGTAATATCGTTGCAGCATTTGCTGGTAGGCATGTAAAGACGTGTCATTGCATGGCAGAAAGAACGAAAACAAATGTTAAATTCTGAATTAAAAATAGGTTTCATTCCAACCTGGTTTCCTGATCCTCCCTCGGCAGCACAGGCCTGCTTGGGAGACAAACATTGCAGTGAATACGCAAATCTGCACGACACACCGGTCATCCTCAACTAACAGTCCTAGAGTCTCATGTGGTTCTTTGGAGTTGACACGGGCAGCTCCAGTGGAATCGCCAAGGTTTGATCTTACCCTGGGGAGGGAATAGCAGGAAGACCCACCTTCCCCTTCAGAAGTAGAAAGGAAAGACTCTGTGTTAAATAGAGTCAAATAATCATGGCGTGAGGTCTTGACACTGCCGTCTGACATTTGTCATTGCTTTGTGATGATGCGGGAGGGTCATATTCTGCTTCTAGCTGCACCCAGGAGTTGCCCAGGTTTACCTGGCAGCAGAATTTGGCCCTTTCCTTTGCAGTGACGCAACATCAGAGACAAACTTTGCTACGCAGTGTCAGGAGACCACTCCGTGTGACGTTGAGGGTCTCCGGCTCCATCCCCTGACCACAGCGTGTTTCCAGCTCTATGAAGTTGAAGAGCACTGCCAGGAATCCATTCAGACAGATGAAAACCAATAACGGAGCAAGATCAAGCTGTTCCATGTATTCTTTATACAGTCACAGTACAGAAAATATTTCAATCTCTAGAACAGGAGGTGGGCTCATCAGAGGTGGGACCTGGGGGAGGTGATACAGCGAGGCCTGGTGCTAGGCTTAGAGAATTCGCTAACTTGGACAATTCCCAAATGCCTGGGAATCACACAGCTGTGTTTTAAGGTCATTCCCCAAAGGGCTGTCTGATAGTTTCAGGGGGTGGCGCTTCAGAGAGCTACCCGTCAGCTGCACCCCTCTGCAAATTTCTGTTTCCAGAAGATTGTGGCCACGTTTATGTCTATTAAGATGTTGACCTACACATGTGGGTGGGGTTTTTCCTGGCGTAAATGGGAGGGAGAAACTGGCAAAGGCAAAGTCCCAGGCTGCCGTAAGGAATTAAATCTTACCCCAAACGGGGGCTGAACGGCTGTGATGCAATAACGGTTTGTAAAGTCCTCCCTTGATTCATTGCCTTTGGGCTAAGAGCAAGGTAGAATCAATTTCCCTGCAGGGACAGCATGGATTCCAAAAGTCTCTCGTTTCCTTTCTCACTAAATCTTCTTAGGATTGCCGGGTATCCGGGTTTCAACCGGACGGTCCAATTGCAGTATCCGGTCAGATGTACTGATCAGACACCAAAAGTCTGGTCACCGCTTGGGGAGGGGGGAGGCACCCGGTCATTAACCCATGCTAGTCCCTGCTCAGCCAGGACCGCCTCCTACCTGCATCTCGTGGGCAGGCAGGATCTGTGTCAGGGGCTGCAGCTCCTGACCCAGCGCCAGAGCAGAGGGAGGCCAGCTGGTGGGGAGAGAGAGGTGGAGAGGATCGAGTGATGAGGAAGGGGGAGAGCAGTGAGTGACAGGGGAGGGGTGGAGAGGAGCGAGCAGGGGCGGGGCCTCGTGGGAAGAGGCGGAGCAGGGGGTGGGGCCTCAGGGGGATACGCGAGGCAGAGGGTGGTGAGGGAGGAGAGAGGTTCTGGCGCTCCTGCTTTAGGGTCCGGTTTTCAGAAATTAGAAAGTTGGCAGCCCTAAATCTTCTCTTGGTTCCCGAGAACAACTCTCTCTGCCCCTGGTTTCACATCCTTTGATACGCGAGTCCCTGGATTATCTAGGCCAGAGCTCCCTGGCTTCAGTGACTCAGGAGGGATTTGCATTGTAACATGCTGTCTTTTCACTGTGGTCCATGAACACCCAGTTGAGCAATCACCTGCATTGGGGTGTGGGGTTTGATGGCAGCAATTGACTTTGTGAGCTGCTACACAATAGGATCGTTGGTTATCCTAAGAGCAGACTGGACTTTAGTAGGGTTAGAATCTTCTCGAAGCATGCACCAGCTAAGTTCCATGGCCAAGGGTGTGCCCTTCCTTTTCTTTCTGGAGAGCTTGCTGATTTGCTAGCTAGATTTTCCCCGGTAGCTTTTATCACAATATTTTCAACCACTATTAGCAGCATTACACCATGGAACAGAACTGATAACCATGAACAAGGCAGGAGCTGAGGTGCAGAGTCATTGCATTCAGCTTGCCGATACGTGCAGGGTATTTACCTTTCTTTCTCTGTCATGTCTTGTTTCTCCTCTGCCCTGTAACGATAAAACGTATTTGAAATCTACCGAGTGGGAGCAGCCAACGTGAAAGGGACGCACTGGATTCTCCAGCACATGCAGCTTCTAAATCAAGACTGGACATCTTTCTGAACGAGATGCTGTGTCTCCACCTAACGTGATTTGGCCTGATGCAGAAGTTTTCCTAGAGTAAATGAATCACAGAATATCAGGGTTGGAAGGACCTCAGGAGGTCAACTAGTCCAACCCGCTGCTCAAAGCAGGACCAATCCCCAGCCAGATTTTTACCCCAGTTCCCTAAATGGCCCCCTCAAGGAGTGAACTCACAACCCTGGGTTTAGCAAGCCAATGCTCCAACCACTAAGCTATCCCTCAATAGGAGAGGCTCTTCAACTACTGTTATGCAGGAGGTCAAGCTAGATGATCATAATGGTTCCTTCTGGCCTTAAATCTATGATTCTATTAAAATACCGAGATCCAGACCTTTCCATTTTCTCTCGCTTATTACAGATCAATTTCGCCTTTATGGTAGGGTATAGTGTTCCGAAGACTTAAAGTGCTATGTACCTATATTGCTCATTACAGTCCTGATGTTGCAGCCATTACTCGAGTGAGTCACCGTGTCTCCCAGGACTAGCCCTTTGCGACTGCTGGCTGCTCTAATTTTACGTTCGTGGCGGTTTTTGAGCTTTAGAGAATCATGCAGTTTTTTTGTTTGATCAGCTCAAGCATTTTAAAGGAACTGATTACTTCTTCTTTGACCCTCTGACCGCACTCCTGTCCCTGTTATTTCTTTAGCTGTCCCCCGAAATCAGTTGGGTTTCAGGTCCTGTTGCTCCTCCCCTTAGGCTGGGGGGGCGGATCCTTTAGCAGTGTGCGGGCTTCCGTCCGCCCACTTCCCGGACCCCAGTAGGTACTTCTAATAACTTGGGGCTAGAGCAGGGGTAGGCAACTTATGGCACGCGCGCCAAAGGCGGCACGTGAGCTGATTTTCAGTGGCACTCACACTGCCCGGGTCCTGGCCACCGGTCCGGGGGGCTCTGCATTTTAATTTAATTTTAAATGAAGCTTCTTAAACATTTTAAAAACCTTATTTACTTTACAGACAACAATAGTTTAGTTATATATTATAGACTTATAGAAAGAGACCGTCTAAAAGCATTAAAATGTATTACTGGCACGCGAAACCTTAAATCAGAGTGAATAAATGAAGACCCGGCACACCGCTTCTGAAAGGTTGCCGACCCCTGGGCTAGAGTCTGGCAACGTGAAACCGTGACCCTAATGGAAGTTTTGCCATTGACTGCAGTGGAGCCAGGACTTCACCCCAGGAATCAATGCAGAGAAATGCAGGCCTGGCAGAATCTGACCTTTAGGCTTGGGTTACACACAGGTTTTGCACTGGTATAACTCTTTCGATTAGGGGGTGATTATTTTTTAATCAAAATAGTTACATTTGTAGTGTGGACGCAGTTATACTGGTTATAAAGGTGCCCTGTACCTTCCTGTAGAAGCTAGACTGGTATAAGCACCTTTCATACCTGTCTAACTGTATCCACACTAGAGGGGGGTTGTAATTATTTGAACTCTAGCAGTACTGGGAAAGTGATACGATTTTGGGGGGGAGAGGCAAGTCCCAAGAGAGGTAAATAGGCTTTTATTTAAGCATGTAGTCCAGTGGTCCCCAACCTTTTTCGTATGGCGGGTGCCAGACGACAAGCCACCGAGGATCATGGCCGGCGGATGAGCATCCGCCAAAATGCCACCGAGAAGCGGCAACGTCAAGTGGCGTCGCCACCGAAATGCTGCCGACAAGCAGCGTCATCCAGAGGTGTCGCCGCCGAAAATCGGCAGCATTTCAGCAGCAACGCCTCTGGATGCCGCTGCTTGTCGGCAGCATTTTGGCGGATGCTTGTCCGCCAGCCAGTACGCGGGCGCACATAGATGCCCTGGCGGGCGCCATGGCACCCACGGGCACCGCGTTGGGGACCACTGATGTAGTCACATGCATTTTCAAATATTGGTCAGTTTTTCAATAGCTCCTTAACTGTGAAGGGTCCATGGAACTGGGTGGCTTTAACGGGTTGGAGGACTGTGAGTGGCCCCTCTTAAAAGTGTGTGTGGGGGCCCCCGGTGCCTGAACCGTGGTCCTGCCCCATGGGCCATCCCTTCTCGCCGAGCAGCAGGGTGTGGCCAACAGGGAGAGGAAGCCAGGGTTCGAGCGCCAGCCAATGTATCAAGATCATTTTGAATTCTAATCCTGTCCTCCAAAGTGCTTGCAACCCCTCCCTGTTTGGTATCATCCCAAAGTTTATAAGTGTCCTCTCTGTGCGATAATCCAGATCATTTGTGAAGATATTGAATAGAACTGGACCCAGTACAGATCCATGTGGGACCCCACTCAATATGCCCTTCCAGCTAGACTGTGAACCATTGATAACTTCTCTCTGAGTACAGGATTCCAATCAGTTGTGCATCAACCCTATAGTAGGTTTGTCTAGGTTATATTTCTCTCGTTTGTTTATGAGAGGGTCATGTCGCAGGGCCGTCCCTAGCTATTCTGGGGCCCTACGCAGCCCCCCCACGCAGGGTGTGTGTGGGGCCCCAGGCCTCCACAGGGGAGGAGCAGGGGGGCGGGCCCCAGGCCTCCATGGGGACGGGGCTGGCTTGGGGGGCAGGGGGGAACCATCCCCCAGCACTCACCGGCGGCGCAGCTGGGGCCGGGTCCGCTCTTCCCGCCGCCGCTGAGTGCAGGCCCGGCCATGCTGCAGAGCTCAGGGGAGTGGGGAAGGGGCAGGGGCAGGGGCGGAGCTGGGCAGGGGCTTAGGGGAAGGGGTGGAGTGGGGGCGGGGCTGGGGCGGAGCAGGGGTGGGGGCCCTGGGTAAGAGGCGGAGCAGCCCTCATGATAATGGATGGTATTGTCACTAGCTGGGGCAATATATCCTAATTCCGGATTATTGTTTTTATCGGCTGGGATGGCTTAAAACATGGAAATAAAACAAACTAGGATACAATGGGCCCAATTCTCATTTATAATAAGGCCCCGTTACACCTCTCTGGCCTTAATGAGAGAGTAAATTACATTTCCTGCCACGTTACACCACCGTGGTGAGGTAAAACAGCCTTAAAGAGGCTTTAGGGCTTGTGTGGACAGGAAGTGGTTCCTGATTAACTCCATGTGGTATTCCAGAATAAGAGCGTCCACACACGGAATTAGTCAGGGACAGTTAAGCAGGAACAACTCCTTGTGTAGACCAGCCCTTTGCCTAACTGAGAACTGGGCTCCATAGTTCCACTGCAGGTTTATTCTGGGGGCCTGTTTTTGTGCAGTGTTGAAGTATTAGTTGGGGGACAGGTTCTTCCTAGGAATGGAAGGTGAGGGTTGAAATTACCACAGGGGGCATCTTCACTAGGGAAAACGGTACATTGTTAACTCAAGTTAGCTAACCAGAGGTAAAGTCCTAGTGGGGACAAGGCAGTTGGCAGGTTTCACCCAAGTTAGCAGGTTGAGTTCAAACCTATGGGGAAGCCTGGGGTTTGCATTGTGTATCTGTTCTGAATGAATATCTGGAGAAGTCAAATACAGACCAAATGGGTTGCCTGGGTTATGAGGAACACAGAATTTACTGGCTGTAACTCCCATAGGAGAAATCTTTAGGACAATAGGAGCCCCATTCCCCCAAAAGCTGATGTTTACCTTTCTTTCCTGGCTTTGGTTCTCTCTTCTTCGTACCTGCAACGAACAAGAGAGATTTCCTTAAATGTCCCCGCAGCATTCACTCTAAAGGCGAAAGAGCCTGGGGCAAGCAATGGCTCCAGAATACAAAGAGTTAATGTCTTCTCTCTCTTGCATTTCCTGCCCGTAGGAATGGAGAAGCTCGAGGCACGGAGAGGGTAGGACTTGCCCAAGGCCAAGCAATGAGTTGAGCTGGGATTAGACGACAGCCAGGCCTCCTGAATGCCAAGCCTTGATCACAGGTCCATCCTTCCTCTCTGAAGCACGGGGAAACGGTGCACATGGTGAGGAGCTAATGGACGGTGGCCCCCAGAGTTGCCAAGTTTTCAAGTAAGAGCTCCCTGTGATACTTACTGTAGGAGGCAGTCAGGAATCTGGACGTGCTCCATGGGGATAGTCTGCTCCAGTTCTTCCAGACTGTGAACATACTGGATCTTATTGATAAACTTCACACTGACAGAGGAAAAGAACATGCACCCTTTAAGAGCTTATTCTGACTTTCCCCCTTCATAGAACGGTGGCTAGGCGGGACATACATCCAGATCCGATTGAAGTCTATGGGCGTGTTGCTGTTGATTTCAATGCAACTGGGATGTGACCCAAAACGAAGGCTTCTCTTTAGCCAGAGGCTGCGAACTGTTCAGACAGCTAGAGCGGGGTTCTCCTGCTCCCAACTTCATTCCACCCTTTTGATGGTAACTTTTGCTGGGAGAGGATGGCTGGGGGGGGTGAGCTGTGAGTGCCTCTCCTATGAGTTTTTACACCAGTCTCTACAGTGACCCCTGCTGGGAGAGGCTGGAGCTAAGGCATCTGGGACTTCTCAAAGAACCAGAGCTCTTGCACCGGGTCTTACACTAACTCCTGGGGGGAGAGAATTTGGCCTAGAGTCCTCCATGCTAGAGCACCCACCCGGCCCACCTCAGGAGCTGGCCCAGCCGTTCCTTTAGTTGTTATAAGAACTTGATAAAAATAAAAACAAAACAAAAAACCCTCCAGCAGCATTGGGACACCTTTCCCCTCTCCCAGTGAGCAAATTTCCTGCCACAAAAATCCAGCCTCCCTTTCTGGCTGCCTCAGTAGGGTAACAGGAACACAGAGCGAAGGTCCATCAAGCTTAGTATCCTCTCTCTGACTGTGGCCAGTGCCAGGTGCTTCAGAGGAAGGGGGGAGAACCCTGCACTAGACCCAGGTGGGCTAATTTGCCCCTTTGTATAGCCCTCACCCTGCTCTCTAACATGTAGAGATTGGCACAAGGTTTAATTGCCTTTCCAAAACCCACTGGGATGCGGGAGAGTTCTTTGTTCACCTGATGAAGGGCCTGGATATCGCCAGCACGGTCCGGATGAACCACGAAGGATGCACGATGATCAAAGCTTTCAGGTTTTTCCGTAGCCTGCGGAAAGGCC